TAACCCATGTTTGTATAATTGAGTTAACTCCGTGTGTTGCTGCTAGCATACATAACAGCTGACGTGGAAACGTTACTCGTGGATGGGGCTACAGAGCTACTAGAAAGACAGTCGAACCGGTGCATTTCTCTCTCTGAATGTGGAGCACTTTTGCTAAATGTTTAGACAAATTGCTCGTGTTCCGCCCTTACATGCTAAACTCTTATTGCACTTTAGGCAACGAGCATCGAGACGGGTAAAGTTTAACCACACCTCAGAGTGGGTTCTCTCCGCTGTGTGTGTGTGTGTGTGTGTGTGTGTGTGTGTGTGGTGTGTGTGTGTGTGTGTGTGTGTGTGTGGTGTGTGTGTGTGTGTGTGTGGTGTGTGTGTGTGTGTGTGTTGTGTGTGTGTGTGTGGTGTGTGGTGTGTGTGTGTGTTGTGTGTGTGTTGTGTGGTGTGTGTGGTGTGTGTGTGTGTGTTGTTGTTGGTGTGTGTGTGTGTGGTGTGTTGGTTGTGTGTGTGTGTGTTGTGTGTGTGTGTGTGGTGTGTGTGTGTGTGTGTGTGTGGTGTGTGTGTGTGTGTGTGTGTGTGTGTGTGTGTGTGTGTTGCCCCCCTCGCAAGCAGGCGGGGGAGAGAGATCGAAAATAATCATAGAAGCATTTTGCAGTCTTTTTGCGTATTAGAAACGGAGTTGGCGACAGTAAAACTGCAATATAATGTTTGTGTAGTAATAATACACATGATATATATTTTAGACCGCTAACGTTGGAGCTTAACGGTACCATGGTCTTTAATAATTCAGCCCCGGGGCCCGTTTAATACCGGGGCTCGGTACCCATCCCTACTTCTTGATAAACTGCACAATGTACATGTATGTTGTCAAAAGACGGCCACATATTGACCTCTACAAAGATGCCTCCTACTCGTCTTAATGTGGAAATACTTCCTCTAAATCCTACCTGTGTTGCAGGTGTTCCTGTTGCTGGGCAACGAGCGGGTAAACAGTTTCTGGGCAGCTAACATCCCGCCAAGTGAAGCCTTGGCCCCCTCTAGCTGCAGCGAGGAGAGACGCCGCTTCATCACCAATAAGTACCGGCAGGGCAAATACAGGAAGTACCACCCTCTGTACGGAAACCAGAAAGAGCTCAACAATGTAAGTGTTAATCCGCTGCTTTGATTGTAACCCCTGTGTTTACGATTTTGAATATACAGTACACATTGTTTTCAGTGGTTATAGAGATTTAATTTAGTAAACAACGTTGCAAATGTAAGTCACCGTTAGTCAACAGACCTTGAGAAAGAGATGCTTTTGTACATAAGGAGGATTTAGAGATGGTTGGAATAGCAATCCATTACAATTTGATTTTGATAAACAAAAAGTCAGCTAGCCTAAGCCCTCTAATTTAGTTTGTAACAGGCAGCAATTTTTCATGTAGCTTTTTTAAGTCACTGAGTATTGAAAAACACAAACACCCTTTTTTAGTGTTTATTCGTGCAAGTTTAGCATGAATGAATGTTACCTTTTGTCTTTGGTTCGCCTTTGTTATGGCAAACACTTTATATAACATTTAAATAAATAAAAACTCCATAAGCTGATTAACACTTTAATCTGCTTTCATTATATATCTTGCTACAATGCCTTGTGTATTAGCGCAAAGCAGACCTGAAATAGTTCCTGAAATCAGCAGCCTCTGTAATGTTTTCAACCAAATCATGACCATAAGAATCTAAATCATTTCAAATCATGACACTAAACAATAGTCTTTATCATCATGATGACCTTATTATCATTTATTTGTCTTCTGACGGGTACGGTCGAATGTAGTTACTTACAACTCCCTTTTAAACACAACACAGTTTTTGTACAGGTTGAGTTGTGATTGAACTCTGCACTGCAATACACAAACAGCATACTCCATACATCTGAGTGCTAATCAGATCATGAGTAAGACTCCAAGAATAAAGAAATGTCATGACCGTTTTTAGATTGATTCACTGAAAGAAAGAGAAACAATAAACCAGCTTTTCCTGTGAGACTAGTTCAAAAGAATGCAGAAGTAAATTGCTGTGTATATGTAAATAACCCTCTAAGAGTCAACATTAATTTAAGCATCTGTTAAATCCCTCATCAAACTCATCATAAAAGTCCAAAATAAGTATGTTGTGTCACATTTTCCAGTTAGTGACAATAAAGTAGCCAGTCTAAAGTTAACTCTTTCACTGCGTGATGTTTTCTCCTTTTTAGCAAGCTACTTTTGTTACTCAAAGTGGGGCATTCATGAGACCGAATTGAACTCACGGTAGTAGGAAGAAACGCAGGTTTGTAGATTGCAAAAAGCTGAATCCCTGATTAAGACTTACATGTTAAGCACAGTCGGCCGAATGCATTCATCTGAATAAATGAGATCAAGAGACAAGCTAAACATCGCTCCTATTAGAGTAATAGGAGCGTTATTTTATTTTTTACAAACTATCTCCTGTGAATTCCTGTCATGCCTCTGAGTCACCATAGTTTGCAAAACATATAAGCTCATACTAGTGTTGTAAGAGAATCAGCAATTACAAAGAAGGGAGGAATTACAGTACCTGTAGACAAGAGCCCTCTCAGGATGCACTACCTGTGTATAATGTCCTTGTTAATGTGGGAACCTTTGCCCTGTCAAAGTGATAAAGTTGGTCAGTAAAAGTCAGAAGTAGGACCCTGGGGTGCTGTTTCCGGGCTGCTAGATTCGGGGGTTTTATGTTGTGCCCCCGCTGCGCTCCGCTGTGTGTGGTGAATGTGTCAGTGTGTCAGCCCCTGCTGGCTCATTCATTAGCTGCTTAACCCACTTACCGCAAACAATGTGGACTGCTCACAGACTGTGTGTGTGTGTGGTGTGTGTGTGTGTGTGTGTGTGGTGTATGTGACTCACATTAAACACCTGACTGACTTCTATTTTTCCTCCCTGAAGCGTTCAAGCCTGTGAGTGTGTGTGAGTCACTGTGTTTGGGAAGTGCAAAAGGAGATAAAGGATGTTTTCTTATTGTCTATACAATTATTACTTGTTTTGGTTTAAACCATTTTCATTGAGCTGCTGCAGGTCGTCCTCCATGATGGTTATCTCTCTCTCTGCGTTACTTGAGAATGTGACCAGTTCTCTGTCTCCCTGTAGGCTTAACTGCCTCTCATTTCAAACAGATGCTGCTCTACCTGTTTCTTAAATCAAAAATACTTTGCTTCCCTCAGCTCTGTGTTGCTATTCATTCGACTTGGGTGTGTCTTAAGAAAGAATAGACTCTACAATGTGTTTGCGTTCGCTAAGTAGTTATGTGCAAAGGCTATGCCAATAAGACAGTGTATGTGTGTGTTTGTGTGAAAAGTAGAGAGAAACAGACGTTTGTGTTCTGTGTGAGCACTGCAGTGTCTCTGGCTCAGGTTTGTTTATCAATTGCATGCTTTTTACCTCCACTTCTGTTTCCTTTCTTCTTTCTTTTTCTCTGAATATGACATCATTACTCACGGCTGTAGCTGGAATGTGCTGTAACTAACTCCGCCTCCCCCTCTCCCCCTCCTCATTGTTTGGCTGCGACTGCAGAAGAAAGTTGATCTCTCCACTCCTGGCTGCTTTTCTTAACTTTCCTGCTCGGCTCAAACATCTTAAACTGGTTTTATTTTTGCCATTCGCAACTTTTCGTGCCTCCAAACTGACACTAAAACACAGGAGAGATTAAAGGGAGCTGAAAACCTACAGGTAAGTGTGTGTGAGCTGTAGGAAAGAGTACTGAAAGTATTTTGTGTGTTTTTGTGAATTATTTCAGTGGGTTTTAAGGATTGTAGGGTAGTGTTAGTTCAGGAATGTGTGTCAATGGACTTTGGATCTCTGACAGCACTGTATGTGAGCTCAGTGCTCTAAAACAAACACATATTTACATGTATTTGTGTGGCATAGTTTTATCTTGAGACTATAAGAACTGTTGTTTGTGGCTCTATGTCAGCGAGCACATTAGAGTTATTGTGTGTATGCTTTCCACTAGGATTGGGTGGAGCAACATTAACATGCATTTGAATGTGTGTAGTCATGTTTCTGTGCCTTTTTAGCATTTTTGGTCCGTGTCGCACTCTCTGTCTGTGTCTGTGTGTGTGTTCTCTGTGTGCGAGAGGATAGGCTCACCTCTGTCAATGGGCATCATTGTCTCCCTCAATCCCCTCCTGCTCTGTGTCCCCCCTCTCTTTGCCTCTCTCTTTTAGGCAGTCAACTATTGATGCTTTCAACAGCCTTTCATTCAATAATTGGGTTTCATATTCTCTTGAAAAAAGTTTGTATGAAGGAAATATTTCAACATCAACTTTTACACACCAAACATATACTGTGTAGAATGGCCAGCCATGAACCTGTATTACTTCATGGTGTCTTATTATAATACTTCCCTCAAAGCCTCTTGATTGACTTATCAAACAACCACCCCCCCCCCCTCTTGTTTATGAGGGGGTAAAGAAGCCAAAGAGCACTGAGTGGGAGCATAAAGACCATTGTCAGGGAAATGTAAGTATGGCGTTAAGTTGTAAAAACACAAAGGGAAGTGTGGCAGCTTTTTAGTATGATTGTGACAAGTTTGACTTGCTTACTTTTTAAAGTGCAAGAAAGATGCAGTGACAAAGTATGTTTTTCCAAAGAGTCTAAAATCCATACACTGATCCCACTTTATATTACACATCACATGTTTGTTATAAGCCTATATTACACATCACATGTTTGTTATAAGCCTAGTTACAACATCACATGTTTGTTATAAGCCATATTACACATCACATGTTTGTTATAAGCCTATATTACACATCACATGTTTGTTATAAGCCTAGTATGAGTTAATATCTTCCCACCTGAACAACAACAACCTATGACTACTCCCAGTCTTCTTGAGTTGTGTCTATGTTGACTTTGTGTCAGTGGCGTTCAGCGTGTTTTCGCTACTTATTATATATAGCAAGCAGACTCAGCCGAAAGTCAGTAGTTAAACTTTTTTATGTGGCCTGTTTTTGTGCTTTTTATAGTTTTGGAAAGTGACTTCCATAAAATAAGAAAACTTCCAACTTAGTCCCTTCATTTCCAACATTCACACTTTAGGGTTTAAGTCATAAAACATGTTCAATTGTACTGCGTGATGGGACCTGCTGTCTTGTGTATTTCCAATGATTTTCCTCCCTATCTGTCAGCCTTTTTCTGTGTGTCTGCCTTTCTGTTTTTCCTCTATGCCATATTCATACTCTTCTCTTTCCCTTTTCCATCTGTCTGGATGTTCACCTCCACCTCCTTCCCCATCTCCCTCTCTGTCCCTGGTGAGGGTAATGACGGAGCATATGTGGATATCTGCTTCTCATCTGGATTTAATACAAGGACGTGCATACACACATGTAGGAATGTGTGTTTTTTTGTTGAACATTCGCTATATGCTCAAATGAGCAAAGCAGAGTGGGCTGCATGTGTGCGTCTGTGCATAGGAGGTCTGAGTGTATTATGTCCAGTTTGTAGCCAAGTACAATCAGGGTCTGATTAATGTGCCCTCAAAACGCTTTCATCTTCTCACAATATTTTTCTTTCTTCTGTGCCTCTCATCGCTTACTTCGACTCCGTCCCGTTAAACTGCGGAGGCCAGATGGAGGCCAGTGATTTCAGACACACCCAGATAAAATCTCTCGGACTCTTTCTTTCTCACTCTCTGGGGAAATTGGCAAGGATTCTTGAATTCCCTTCTCTTCTCTTTTTCCTTCTCTCTGTGTGAGTGATTACATTACTCCCTGTTTCATAGACAGCAGATGTTGGAGGGCGTGAGGTCTTCAAACACCCTTTTCCTTGTACTTTGTTCTGATTGGTTCCCTTAGTCAGAATGCACATGGTTAGGCTATTGATTCCTTACAGGACACTGACCTACATACAGCATGCACACACACACACACACACACACCCACACACACACACACACACACACACACACCACACACACACACACACACACACACACACACACACACACACAGTTATCACAATAATAATAATTGTCTATAGCAAGGTACTCTCCTTGAACTGCATTGTGCTTGCGGTCAAATTAGAGTATATTTTGCTGTGGCTCAGCTCGTAGCATCGCGGCTAATGTTAGCCTGCAGGGATTCATCAAAGTATTGACTTTTGTGGCCGGTCAATTTGATGGTTATAGTGAATAAAATTGGAGTCACCAAATGGGCTTCTGTTCTCTCATAGCCCGAGTGCCACAGAGCAGGCTAAAACCACCAGGTTGTATTTGTAGCGTACATTATTCCCAAATTTGAGGCAGTAATAGCCTAGTCATCATATTAGTTGAGTTGTTCTCCTGGGAAACAAAAGATTGTATAGGCTATTTAAGCAAAAGAAAAGAAGGATGCAGAATATATATAGTTAATATGTCTCTGGCAAAGAAAAATAGAAAGTGCAATGCCATATCTAAACAGAAAAAAGGTGAAAATATATATTTTTTTCATCAAACTGACTCCAGGGATCAGCAGCATATTGTTTCCCTTTGATCCAGGATTCCAAGATGATGCTGCCAACATGCTGGGACTTTTCCTACAGTTTCATGTTGTCGATTTACAGACTGAATTAAATCTATTGAACCTTCTCAACCCGGTGTTTCACTGTTACCTATAGTCGCTGATTTAGACAAAGTTATTTAAAAAAACATAACAGGACAGGATAAAACTTGAACATTATTTTTTTTCTTATCATGCACAACACTACAAAACAAAACATGTATTTCTTATTTGTAATGCAACTGGAAATCTGTCTTTAACTTCTTTAAGTTTTCCGCAATATTTTAGTCAAGCTATTTTGTGCAATATAATGCCTAATTACAGCGCATTATTATGACTTTTAATTGGTTATCTGCATTTTTAGACACAAGTTGTATGTTTAAGTGTGCCTGAAAACAACACCTGTATTATATGTTCCTCGTTGTAAATGTTATGAAGCTGCTAAAAGCAATGAAAAAGTAGAATAACATTGATTCCCAGGCCCCCCAAAAAACAGCCTTATCGTTGCAACTATGTGAAGCCACACACGAGGAGACTGTTCTAAAATTGTGTGTGTGTGTGTGTGTGTGTGTGTGTGTGTGGTGTGTGTGTGGTTGTGTGTGGTGTGTGTGTGTGTGTGTGTTGTGTGTGGTGGGTGTGTGTGTGTGGTGTGTGTGGTGTGTGTGTGTGGTGATTGTGTGTGTGTGTGTGGTGTAGTGTGTGTGTGTGTGTGTGTCGGTGTGTGTGTGTGGTGTGTGTGTGTGTGTGCTGTGGTGTGTGTGTGTGTGTGTGTGTGTGTGTGTGTGGTGTGTGTGTGTGTGTGTGTGTGTGTGTGTGTGGGGTGTTTTCTGTCTGTGTGTGCCGCGCTGTGGAATTTCTCAATCAGATCCAAGAGCTTATTGGTTTTAACAGAAGACAATGTGGGCACATGGGTTTGTGTGTAATTGCATAAATCTAAATTGAGTTCCTCAGCTGTGAAAACACTGCATCCTCCTTCACTCAGTCACAACACACCTTTCGTATTGCACTTCCCCCTACTTTCCTTACATTTGAGTGTACAATATGTGGACGTAATATCAGTCTAGACAACAATGTAGTTCTTGTCAGGTACAGTAATAATCTGTATTTGTTAGTCATCACCTGGTTGAAAAGCAAATAATCCCTTTATGGCGATGATAATCCTCTAATAGGAATTGAAATAGTTGTTTGTTGTTTTAAGAGATTCCTTTCATTTCAGTTTTTTCTCTTTTTTCAACTTATGTCAATTATTGTTTTTCTGTTTCTCCACAGATATGTGTAAGATTATTTTATAGCCCACAATGTTTTTGGTCATATGACTTTTAATTCAATTGGATCCAGTTGACATATTGATAATACCCTATTAGTTCCTTCAGTAAAACAAAGGGGAAAATATTAGCAAATGTAACACTTCAATACCACCTACATGAGCAGCACAAGTTTATAAGACCACATGAGTTAGCTTTTCATCAGCTCTCAAATCTATGTCAGCTCACCAGTGCTCCACTAAAATAAAGCTTGGAGACTTACTGACCAATCACTATAAAATGGCTCCAGGTTACTTTGTTATTAAAATTGCATACAGAGGATTTAGAGTGGAATCAGCAAATGAAATTAAATATTATAAACATTTGGAAGTTTTATAATAATAATACCCTCCACAGGTCCTATAAATCCCCAAATAATTACATTTTATATTTAAAGAAAACATAACAAACAAGACACACTGCATATCTTCTACTTGGCAGAGGCATAGCGGTGTTGACAGGTACTGACCAAAGTAACCAATCAGAAAGCTGCACACTCTGGTTATGGAACAACAGGGTCTGCTCCAGGTTTGAACCAACCTCAACAAAAAAAAACACACACACACACACACACACACACACACACACACACTGAGTTTGACCCTAGCTGTTTCCTTTGAAATCAAGCTGCCAGAGGACATGGTATCATTAAAGCCAGGTCAGCAGCTGCAGGACCAAATACAGAAGTCATCAGTTTAGTATCATTCTTACTCATTAGCGTTTTTGTATCTCTTTCTTTCTCCGTCATGTTATCTCCCTTTCCCACTCTGTTGCATTTCCCTTACAACAAACCAGACAGTGGTTTAATAGTGTTGTTTAAAGTGTCCTCTCTCTTTTGTCTTACCAGTTTTTGGCCATTTAAGATTTTGTAATTCTATTCAATTAAAAACATGCTAATTTGATATGATCATTTAGTATGAATTTCACCAGGCCTAGATAGTATATTTATTTACATAACGTATCTGCCCTTGACATGCATAAGCAACACATCGTTGTCTCCATCTGTCATTTCTATACATGAGAATCTAATCTTGTTTTGATTTGTATCTCTTTTCTCCAGGCTCTTCTTATAAATGTGCAGGGCAGTGATGTGCTGGAGACGTTGAGCCTGATCTTCTTGTGGTGCAGATGTAAATTGTCCAACTGGTATGCCAAGTGCGCCCTCGGCTCTCTCCCTGGCCACCACACACACAGCCCCTACAGGCGGAGTTAATCAGCCACAACCTCAACACAGGTACAGTAAGACATACAGCTTTTTTTTTTAACTCATCAAACTATTTATTAAAGACGGATAACTACATACAGTATTTGTATGTGGAATTAAATCCATGATGATTTTTCTTTATACTATATGTTCTGTAAGCCTAATATTTGTATATTTTAAGGGTATGAGAGTTGAATGCACCTTCCGTATACTTCCTTAATGTTACATAACCAATTCCTGTCATACCAAGGAGTGTTTGGGATGTATTACATTTTCCATTTAACTTTAACAGATGCACTTCTCCCTATTTTCAGATAGACTCAGTAAATGACAGTCTGTACAGTATGTTCTAGGTTTTCTCCAATAAAATAATTGTATTTTTTTTTTTTTCTCCTGCAGAACTACCACGGTCAGAGCCGGGTGAGGCAATGGACACAAGACCTTACTTGCCAGCACCTTGTGTGTCTCACAATGGCTTCCTTTTCAAGACTGCATCCATGCCCGGGCTATTACAGAGCGCAAGGCCAAAGAGGGTATTTACACACAATATCCAACACTAACACTTACTTACACAGTAAAAAAATAACACATAATAATTCAATATTCAATGTTTTTCATTTTGTTTATTTTTCTCCATTTACAAACATATGAAAGCCACAAGATGAACATCTAAACATACAAAACAACGCAAAGATAATTTCGAAAGAATGTTCTTGTGTGTATTAAAATTACACATCATATCCTAGCCTTTTTTGTTGTGAAGCCATCTTCTTAGTCATACATCAGTTTTTTACACACAATTTACACACGGCATCTATTGCACGTCTTGTCCGTCCTGGGAGAGGGATCCCTCCTCTGTTGCTCTCCCTGAGGTTTCTCCCATTTTTCCCTTTAAACTGTGGGTTTTCTTCGGAAGTTTTTCCTTGTACGATGTGAGGGTCTAAGGACAGAGGGTGTCGTATTGTCATACTGATATTTTGTACAAACTGTAAAGTCCACTGAGACAAATGTAACATTTGTGATATGGGCTATATAAATAAACATTGATTGATTGATTGATCAGTTAAAAAATTGGCTTTGCTATTAGCACACAATGAAGTTAAAATGGCACCCAGAGAGCAGACCTCTGCTGACGCCTCACACCCCTATTTCACAACTTTAAAGTGTTTATTTGTTGTCTTGGCCCTGTGAACAGAAAACGTAACATCCTTGATGGAGGTAACTGCAGTCATTTGTATTATTATAATTATTGATATTCTCTCCATTTGTTCATCTCTATTGTTCCCTTCATGTAGAGTTCAGTCGTCGCTGGTGCACTCTGAATGATGGCACCTACAGCTACTATGAGAGTGACAAGAACTCAAACCCTAACGGAGCTCTGAAGGCTTCAGAGATCGTCTGCCTGGCTGTTGACCCGCCTTATAGACATGGGTACACACACACACACACACACACACACATACATACATACATACATACATACATACACCAATCCATTACCCCTTCATTTTAATGTCTGTATTAAATTACTTTTAGTAAATACAAACTGAAATAATATGCATAACCAAAACTGAATATGCGTGTTATTGTACATAATATTCATCTGTCACGTAAAACCAAATACACGTCTGGCATGACCATTTCCCCCCGCAAAATTACATCCTTTTACAGTATCACCTAAATATCACTTTCTGTATCAATTTCTCCTAACCCCTATTTCAAACCCATCAGGTATGAACACACCTTTGAACTGTACTCGGAGTCAGAGCGTCTCTATCTGTTCGGCACTGATGACCCATGCGGCCACAAGGAATGGGTCAAGTCTATTGCCAGGGTAACCACCAAAACATGTATTTTCTGGACACTCAATCATATCCTTCTGGTTTTCTTTTCTTCCTAGGTGAACCCTAGTTATTCATTTTCTGTAGTGAAATTGCAGAGCTCTGATGCTTAAAAGAAAAATGTAGTGACAGGCTGCATAGTGGTCAGGGACAGGGCTAGTGAATTGTGACTTTTTCTCTTTGTCACTTATTTTCCAGCATTCTTTACAGCTGATATAATGGTCAGCTGCATGATGATGTTAAATAAAGCAACTACTGCTGAAACTACTGGAAGTCAGTGCAGTATAAGAGTAAGGTTGAAGTAGACGTGTTGACTCATAGTACTGTATTATCATTTTAAATGATATGCAAGATGCTGGATTGCCTAAATTGCATCTATTGGCTGTTTCTGTTTACCTGAGAATTAAAAAACATAAATGCCAAGTTGGTAGATGGACAGAATATCCATGGCTCCTGAATGTCTAGCCACAAAGACACATTATCCTCTCATACCATTGAAGTACTTTACGAGAGCTTTAACCTTTTTTCACAATTGAATTAGTATTGGTTTTCTCAGAGAGGTTCAGTAATGCTCAGGCTGAAGTGCTTGAATCTTCTTTAAAAGAGGAGGGAAACAATAAATAATGTGCAATGTATTACATAGCCGTAATGTCCCCGTTTTGTTTGTAGAGCCTGATCCCGGCCTCTGCAGAGCCGCTGCTGAGGTTAGCTTTTGAGCGGATTGGGCGGCTGAAGTGTAAAGACGGCTTGAACCTGCAAACATCCAAGGTGGGCTGGTTTGCTCTGGTGGGCTCTACACTTCACGCCTACCTGGAGGACAGCCAGGGAGAGGAGATCCACCTCCGCAAACTGAATGAGCTCTGTGAGTGAAACACATACAGACAAATACGCACACAAACAGCACTTTTACTACATACTATACTGTGTACACATAGTGAAAGGGAAGTGTGCTCCGAAGGATTATTGACAGAACAGTCATTTGAAAAGAAACCAGAAAGAAACATATCAGATACAGTATTTTGACGCGCAGGCATACTGTTAATAATACATGATTCCTCTGTGTTTGTGTCTCACAGCAATTCAACAAGACAATGAGGTGCTTGTTCTGGTGGAGAGAGGCAGGTGAGCGGGATTTCATGTTCATTGGGTTTGCTACAATAGTGCAACCCAGTCTCACGGCATTTCGTGTTCACCAACACGATTTTTAATCTATTGATTCGTGTTCACCAACACGAATTGCCCCTTTTTTTCGTGTTGCACAGCACGATTTTAAAAGCAATGTATTTCTACTGCCTGCAGCACGTCTTTTTCTCTGGTCGGGTCGTGGGAGACCGGAAGCTGTGTGGTTCATAAAAACATATTCTTACTCAATATCAAGCCACAATTATTGCTTTTATTTTAAATCGTATAATTTCGGACTTTTGTTGCCGTCTGTGAGGAAAATAAATGGGGCTCAGAGCCTCAGAATACGGAAATCTGTATTTTTAAATATTTTTTTCCTTCTAATTTGTTATTCTTTTCAAAATAACACACTGTTATTTACTCACCAATAACACACAATTATCCTTGCTTTTATTTATTGGTTTAATTCCATAATATCGGGCTTTTTTGGCGTCCGTCAGGAACTGAATTTCAAAATAAAAATAACCGGAAACAGACGTAGACCTATAAGGGACATTTCGAGCATCATTGCGATTGTCAACATTTCTGAGTTTAGGATGGCCGAAGACACTACACTACCCATAATCCCCAGCTATCGTTGAGGACTACAGTCCCCGTAAGGTTACGCAGAGCGTCACACAGCTGTGTGAAATGAAACGAAACCAAGCCAGACTATCCAAAACTGGAATCGAACGCCCCCCCAGAACTACACATGCTGGCTATTGTGTTTCGCAAAATGTTCTATGGGACGACTCAACTGAACGTTTTCGTTTTTCCCACAATTAGAAGTTGCCAGTATTAAACATATTGGTGTTATCAAATGTAAAACATATAATTAATAAATGGGTGAAAATCGCTTGTGTCCATAATGCGCAGCATTAATACCCACATGATAGCTCATTGTTACTTTGTAATTCTACTCCACTACAATTCAGAGGTTAACCTGGTATTTTTACTCCACTGCATTTATTTGAGTTACTTTGCAGATTCTGATTAATTATGTGAAATATAAACAACCCTTAAATCAGACTTTAGTTACACTTGAGTAAAATTCAGGTAAGGTGATTGTCAAGTGCCAACAATCAGGAGAGATATTTGATAGTTGGTGCTTGAGAAGACTAAACATATATCTGCAATTGACATGATTGGAAACGAGTAATAAAGTATATTCATTACTCGTTATTCTCTACTAATAGTTCATTAAAGACTGTATATTATGGCTATTTTGCACATCCCTTTCAAGATTTTCAAAGGTGTATTGACATATCATATACACAACTACGGTGTAGTTATGCAATGAATGAAACACTTGGGTCACAGGTTCCTCAACAGTGCATTACAAGACATCTATCAATATGTGTGTACCTCCACCATTAAACTGTCATATTCTGCACATTTCTTATTCTATCTACATACATAAGAGTATAATTCATATGTATAATATCAGTTAAAATAAGTGCTTCAACATAGTTAACATTGCAGGAAAGCAATATATTAGACGTTAAGTACTTTGTCAGGCTTAATATTTATCTGTAGATAGATACCCCCAAAGTTTTTTTCTTATTTAAAAGAAGACCTTAATCTGTTATTTAATGTTTAAATAAAGGTTAATTCGTTTTTCTGTTTTGCACCTCCTCCTATTCATATCTTTGTACATTCTGCACTATACTGTTTTATTGTAGAGATCACTTATCACTTTTATATCAGCTGTGCACCGTTATGGTGTAAATATAACCTATCTGTGAATTAGATCAAATCTAAAAGTCAGCCGAATTAGTGTTGATACTGCAAGGAGACGTATTGTGTGAAGAGAAATTGAAGATGTTGTTTAATTGTTGAATATATTTATGATCCACGTCAAGTATTCAGTTTCGGCGGCATTTTCTCAGTTTTTCCAAAGGTCTTCTCATCAGGGCTCTATAAATAAAGAACTACGGCAGATCTGTAATATACAATGCAGCCGAACCGTGTATTACAATGCCGTTATGTGATGACTTTCAAAGAGAAAAGCAAGAGCGCTCGGAATTAAGTATTATTTTATTCTTTTAAAATGTTTTCCGGATTTCATATCATATAAACACCAAATCCCAGCATGCATTGCGGCTAAAACATCCAATAAACGAGCTTAAAACCATAGCTGAGGATCTTGGGTAATCGCTCGAAATGCCTACGTCTGTTTCCGGTTATTTTTTATTTTGAAATTCAGTTCCTGACGGACGCCAAAAAAGCCCGAGATTATGGAATTAAACCAATAAATAAAAGCAAGGATAATTGTGTGTTATTGGTGAGTAAATAACAGTGTGTTATTTTGAAAAGAATAACAAATTAGAAGGAAAAAAAGATTTTAAAAATACAGATTTCAGTATCCTGAGGCTCTGAGCCACATTTATTTTCCTCACAGACGGCAACAAAAGTCCGAAATTATACGATTTCCAATAAAAGCAATAACTGTGGCTTGATATTGAGTAAGAACATGTTTTTATGAACCACACAGCTTCCGGTCTTCCTCGACCCGACCGGAGAAAAAGACGTGCTGCAGGCAGTAGAAATACATTGCTTTTAAAATCGTGCTGTGCAACACGAAAAAAAGGGGCAAATCGTGTTGGTGAACACGAATCAATAGATTAAAAATCGTGTTGGTGAACACGAAATGCCGTGAGACTGGGTTGAATAGTGATAGTTTAAATAAATGTTTGCTCCAGTGTTTGACTCCACAACCTGTTCCCAAATGTCAAAACACTTTTAAATGTGTTTATTCTTTATTGCTACCGTACACATTTTCAACGTTTCCCCCCTTACTCCCATGTTCTTTTTCCATCTTTTCTTCTCTTTCTGAATGTTATATTCCCTCTTTATCTCTTCCCTTTTCTCCTCTGTCGTTCTCTCTCTCTTTATGCAGGACTTTGTACATAGAGGGTGAGAGGAAGTTGGATTTTGCCGGCTGGTGTACGGCCATCCAGGCAGCAGCGGGGAGTGGAGGAGACACACTGAGCCAGCAGCAGCTGACGGAGACAGACATACCGGTCATAGTGCACAGCTGCATCGGCTACATCACGCAGTGCGGTGAGACACGGCCATTTAGAGAGTTACCCTTATTCCGTCTGTTGCTCACTGTGTCAACATCCAAAGGCACACACTCATCTACATCCACACATTCATGCTCCTTATCTTTGACACACACATTGGCTCTGCTTGCATTTACATCACAGGAATATATTTACTGTACACAGTGTACATTGCTGTACTGTATGTGATTTTGGTCTTTTGAGGGCCTTACTGTGTGTGTGTGTGCACACTTGGCGCTTTCTATGTGTTTGGCCTCATGTGATTATAATGGCAGGAGTTCAGCCCAACGGACTGCAAGATAACAAAATAACTGTTTCCATGTCTCCATCATTCCTGCTTTTCTTTCTCTCTCTTTTGTAATGTTTTTTCATTTTTGCCCCTTGTCCTTTGTCTGCCTCCCAAATCCACGTGCTGACATGCCTTCTTTCACTCTGACTCGCTGTCTCTCATCTTTCTGTCAACCCCTGTTCCCTCCCTTTTGATCTCCTCTCACTCACACTCCATTTAGTGGATGCACTTGTGTGTGTGTGTGTGGCTTCATTTAGCTGATATCCTCTACTTTCTGTCTGAGATGTTAATCCCTCTGATCAGCTTTCTGGGAAACCAGGGCAACTGTCCTCATTTCCCCCTTAATGTGCTGATAATGGTCATTCACCATGACACATTTGCATTACCATCCTTTTTGGCGTTATTAAGTTCTTTGAATCTTTAGACAGTGACTTGCAGGGTTGGGAGGGTTACTTTGTAAATGTAATCAGTTACTGATTACTGAATACATGGCTCTGAAAGTAATCCGAATACAGTTACAGTTACGTGTCTTAAAAAAGTAACGTAATCAGATTACTTTTAGATTACTTTTGGATTACTTTCTTTTTCCATAACAGATGGGTATGTTTTGGTGAACAGGAGACACAAAAAGCAAAAGGAAACTGAACGTGTTTTTACTGTTTTAATGGCTTATCAAGAGCACAACTGAAACATAACATCTGAAACGATGCAACAACATATGCTAATACACTTTTTGGGGATGCAGCTTGGGATGTGAGGAGTGAGGGACACGGCTTAGAACGGGCTTGTCGCATTCTGTCCTGCCAGTGTTGGCAGGACATGAATTAAAATGTCGAACTCGGACTTCATTTTAAGGACATGTCGGCCAGGGGTGTAGAGCTATATTTGTTTAAGCACCGGATCGGCAAAACAGGAGACTCTGTGCACCAGTCTGCCTTGATCTATGAATTCATGTCCGTGACTCTCACAGTATCTGCTGCCCACAGCTCTTTTATAGAAGGAACACCTCCTTCACTTCATGAAATCTCTGCAGCACCGGGAGGCAGCGGGAGGGTTAACTCAGAAGACGAGCGTGCAGTGCCTTTCACGCACCGCCTTCGCTGTGTTTACCTTCAGAATCATAAGGCTAAAGAGCGGACCGCAGGCTGATGTGTTTTAACCACACACACCTCTACACACACACGACTTAAACGCAGACTTTTGTTCCCTCCATGTTTCGTTGTTATTGTTTCACTGAGCGGCCCCGCCCCTTTTTTTCGGCTCCCTTTTTGGTCCATCTGCGGCGGTAAAAGTGTTTGTGCGCTGTGATGATTCGGCTGTAGCCTACGTTTAATAATGAATATTAAATGTTGTGAGGAAATATTTCCATCAATAATTCCAATAAGTAATCCAAAATGTATTCACTTCAGGTTTACGAAAGTAACTGTAATCAGATTACTCGTTTTTCAAATGTAACGCGAGCTGAATACAGTCACTTGATTTTTGTATTCTGATTACGTAACGCCGTTACATGTATTCCGTTACAACCCAACCCTGGTGACTTGTTGTTGGTGTTTGGAGCCATATGAGGAACTGCAGTCACTTGGCCCACATCATCTTGTCCTGACAGGTCTGTCATAAAGGAACTACATTGTGACCAATCCTCAGTTGAGAAATCACACACTTGGTTGAAACAGGATTTTAGTCATGACTCATTGCTACATAAAGCAGCAGAGCCAGAATCCCTCAGTGCTTCTCAAAGTGTGGTCCGCGGACCACTGGTGGTCCGTGAGCGCCCCCTAGTGGTCCGTGAGTATATTGGTAACATTTCACATTTGAAATAAATTCAAATAAATATCTCTGCAATGGAGAGAGCTTAAGTTTCACTTTCGATTGCATGATATAGCCCAGCGCAACACCTTCATCACACATGTTGCCACTTGTTTGTACCATTTTCAGGCGATTTGTAATCTGTTCTAAAAAAACGATGTGTTTTTGGATATTTGTGGAGTTATGTGGTCCGTGAGTGTTTTTTTATTGGTTAAGTGGTCCTTGGTATGAAAAGGTTTGAGAAACACTGCTCTAGTGGAAATGACTTGTAAATGTTCACACCCAGGCTCTTTATTTTCTAATTTAACACAAACTACCACAAAATTGTAAACATATTTTAGTGATGGCCCCTCCATTAACAATGTGTTTGCATATATTTTGCAGTTTTGTCTTATTTTTGATAGTATAATGTTTGAATACACATTATTTGACATCACTGAATAGGAACATCAAAGTATTAGTCTTTTTAAAAACAATGCAGCAGCAGCAATTTGCATAAAACAATAACAAATCTAATAACCACATATTTTTTCCTCATGACCAATCTGTAATGTTGCAACAATATTATGAATTGATCCTCTTATTACCCCAAAATAAGTCTAGTTTTGAGGTGGAATACACTTTATACATGCTGTCCATTTTTGTTTTTATCATGATTTCAGTTTACAATCCTAAATGTAAACTCTGCTGTTCTGTTTAAGCAGAAATATGATCAACTTGAAGGAACAAGGTTTTTTTTTAAATAATCAGTGTTGTAACAATGTGTACTTTCTCTTATGGTATCGACATGGCCTGTGTTTCTAACAATATGTTTTTTGTGTGTGATTGTTTTGTTTTTCTTAGGCTTGACCTCTGAGGGGATATATCGTAAGAGCGGTGTGAACTCCCGTGTGGCCGCGCTGTGCGAGAGATTTCACCGTGACGCCCGCAGTGTTCGTCTGAGGGAAGGAGAGCACCAGGTGGACGACGTCTCCACCACACTCAAACGCTTCTTCAGGGACTTAGAGGAGGGGCTGTTCACGTCAGAGGAATCCAAAGGCTGGCTAAGTGCTGCTGGTAAGATTCATAAGATGGTTGTTGTGCCCTGCAGTTTAGTCAAGCTGTGATTTCGGGATGGGTTTATTCTCAAAAAATTGTTTTTCCTAAACCAATACAGCCTTACAAATACATGTATGTTTATTTTATCAGGTTTGAAGATACTGTTAGACATTTGGTTCCTCTCCAATATAATGGAGGTGAAAAAGGGATACGTCTAGATTCTTTAGGATATTCCACATTCCTTGCTCTGGACTGTTTTACCGTCTTAACACTTAAGGGACTTTTTTCTACCAAAGAAGTATTCCCAACAGACTTCATGTTGCATGTCTGTTTACTTAAGGGTAGGTAAAGGGGGAATAAACTGTGCAAAAGGTCTTTTCACATCAAGAAAGTTCAGTCAAACTCTTGAATGTTGTTTTCTTTACTACTCTTAAATATATTGGAAGCAGTTTCCTAGAGAGCCTGCAACTGCGTGACATCTTGTTTCGTATCATGTTGCGCAGGATTTTCAAAAGTTTGAACTTGTGTGCATGTGAGATCACAGGAAAAAATGTCTGTCTGTTTTTTCATTTCTCTCTCACTGTTCCTGTCCTCATTTTTTATATCTCTATCTCCTTCTCCCACACATTCAGTCTCTCTCTCCCTTTGTACACTTCCTGACACTCTGGGATCTTGCTTCTTTTTAAAACCCCTCTGTATTCATGATTTTATCTTTCCTTCTCCTCTTTTATTCTCTTGCTCCAGGCATTCAGGAAGAAAGCCAGAAAATCTCCCAGTTCCAGCTGCTGCTGAACAGACTTCCTCGTGTCAACAAGGCTACACTACAAGCCCTTATCAACCACCTCTTTTGGTGAGAAACACACACACACATTGATAGAGTATCATCTGGTATCTGTGTGCATGTCTGTTTGCAAATACCCATGTGTGTTTTCCCCGAATGTGTTTCAGTGTGCAGCGTTTTTCTGAGCTGAACCAGATGAACCTCCATAACCTGGCCATAGTGTTCGGCCCCACACTCTTCCAGACGGACGGGAAGGACTACACTGCAGGCCGCGCCGTAGAGGACCTCATACAGCACTACACACTCATCTTTGAGGTCAGACTCACTGCTCACTGTTCGCATGTGGGATGACAGGAGGGCAAAACAGTTTGTTCTCTAAGCTGATTGATTTATCTGAAGTGATGGTATCAGAACACTGCAGACACAACAATGAGTCAAAAGCTATGAAAGGGTGAGATGTCAAAGAACACGAAATATCATATGGGCTGCAAGATTAAGCTCCAACAAAAGGCAGTTTGAGAAACAGATAACAGTCCTATTTTACCCTTTTAAGCCTAAAATTGGGAAATGAAATGGCAAGGGAGTTGCAACTAGAGATCTAAAGAATGGCATGATGCTGCAATTCAAGTATTATATCATTTGACATTTGATTCAGTTGCATGTGTGAGAACATGTGTGTATACTTGATTGCAGGTGGATGAGCAGCAGCTTAAGAAGCAGCTGGAAGAGATCACTGTCATCATCAAAGTGCGAGAGACACTCAACACAAAGTTTCCCGTGAGTCACACACTATCTCGCAAAAACACTCCGGTGTTGTTTTCACACGCGCATGCAGATGTGTGCTGCAGGTGGACATTAATGCATTCTGTTATTTGTTGCCCTAATGCTGTTTGACCTTTTCTGTCTGCCTGTGTGTGTGTTTGTGTTCATGCGTACCGGACACTCAGAGTACTGAACCCGGCGGGCACTTCATCTGTACTGTGTACTTGGAGGAAAAGAAGGAAACAGCAGAGCAACATGTCAAGGTGACCTGGACCTTTCCAAATGACACAAAATTGCTTTACATTTCTGCCCAATACTTATCTTGTGACCCAGGGTAATAACAACTGCCTACATTAGTGTTTAGCCACACTTTCTAAGGAGAATTATTCTCAGGAATAATTGTGTTGTGTCGTCTCTCAGATCCCTGGTTCTATGACAGCAGCAGAGCTGACCTGTGAGGTCCTGGACCGGCGTAACATCCGGGTTAAAGACAAAGAGTACTGGAACTGCTGGGAGGTCAGCGACAAGGAGGACATGGGTGAGAAAGAGAGGACTCTCAAATACATTGCTTCTATACACTTTTGTACATTAGGTACAGATTCCTGCCCACTTGGTTAAAAAGTCTCTTTAAAATGAATATCAAAGATACAAAATGGGCCCTAAGCAAAATAAAAACAATGACGCAAAGCTTGTGAAGTGCTCTCCACTCAACCCCAGCGTGACCTACACAAAGTGACACACAACCTCCAGAGGCAGGAAGATCATTCTCATTAACGTGACTGTGTCGTGGTTTGTTTTGAGCCTGGTATGTAGGCCATCTGGTTCCCCACCGGGAAGCCCGTAGGTGGCTTATTGAATACCAGTAAAACTAACTTAACTTGGCAGGTTTCCCATCAAACTGTTGGTGAAGAAGGAATGGTACAGGTAGCGGGAAAGAGTGACGAGAAGAGCAGGGGGGAATTCTTGTTATAATCTCTATACTGCAGATGTCACCTTTGGATTACAAAAGCTCTTTCAAGTCGAGTATGTAGGCGTGAAAGCTCAATCTGCTGCCTTTCTCTGAAGCGACATTTGCAATTTTTCGCTTAAATAGAACATGTTTTCATAGCTACAAAATTGTCAATCAGGTTGTCAAAAGCTGAACCTGTTGATCTGAGATTTGTGAGGTGAAAACATGATGAGGATTCTTCACATTCATAAACATCAACCTGTGTTTATTGTCATTGCTCCCTCAGAACGCCCGCTGCACTATCAGGAGCGAGTGTTACCCATCCTTCACTCCTTTGGCACCGACTCCCATCTGCTCATCAAGAAACACCTGGCTATGGAGGCGATGATGGAGTACCTGGGTAAACACGCAGACCCGCTGCCAACAAGATGTTTTCTCTTTGAGTTGCTGAGTCCTTTGTAATCTTTCATTCTGCCCTCCAGCCAGCAAAGTGGATTTATCCAAACACGGGATGATGAAATTCAGAGAGGAGCGAAGCATCTTGGGATTGGGACTGTCCTCTGGAAGTTTCCACGACCGATACTTCATCCTGAATTCCAGCTCTCTCAGAATGTACAAGGAAGTCAGAGTAAGATGAATAGATTAAATTAAACTTTGACATGTTTTTATTGTCACAGCTTTTCACACTTTCCTTCTGTCTCCCTCAGAGTAACCGTCCAGAGCGTGATTGGGTGGTGAAAAGCTTAAAGGTCTACCTGGGTATTAAGAAGAAACTCCGTCCTCCTACATGGTGAGCACATGCCGTGTCGCACTGATGTCACTTCTTATCCTCCTCACATTTACTGAGACGAAAACAACAAGTGGCTGCTGTGAATCGCGAGAGCTGTAAAAAAAGATGACAACATCCTGAGCTAACGTCACAATGAATCATTTTAAAACAACACAAACTGAAAAAGATTTGTATAGCCCCATTTACTCTTGAGGAAAATGATCTAAAGGAATTTTCTATAAACTTTAATAATTAATATTCCAACATTTGGATCCGTTGCCTCATCTGGAATAATGAATACTTCTTAACAGAATGACCACTAGAGGGCAGACTCAATACAATACTCATCATCTCGGACGTTTATAATTGTTCTGCTGTTAATTTCCTCTTTCTGTGTGTGTGTGTGTGTGTGGTGTGTGTGTGTGTGTGTGTGTGTGGTGTGTGTGTGTGTGTGTGTGTGTTTGTGTGTGTGTGTGTGTGTGTGTGTGTGTGTGTGTGTGTGTGTGTGTGTGTGTGTGTGTGGTGTGTGTGGTGTGTGTGTGTGTGTGTGTGTGTGTGTGTGTGTGTGTTTCTAGCTGGGGACTAACAGTGGTGTGTGAGAGTAAAAAACAAGAGAAGCAGGAGAAACAGCAGTGGTGAGTATCTGTCCACTTCTGTGTTTACAGTGATGTATACCTGCAATACAAGACATAGCTGTCAGCGCTCATGTCGCGAGCTTTTGACTTTCATTTATCTACTCACACTAGTATCCGTAAGTATGACAAATAAGAGTTATATTCCTTTTAAGAGACGTATTTCCAGCTGTGCTACTTAAAGCGTCACACAACAGCTTATTATCCCTTTAAGCAGTCTCGAATGCAAACTTGTGTTTGTTGTAGGCACTTTTCCCCTCAGTGGCAGCATGATCGCATTTTTCATGTGCATGTGAACATGAGCAATGTTAGGAAAACGCTAGCGGCTCCTCTGTAGGCACAGAAAACAGGTCAGGTCCCTGCGTGGGAGTTTGGAAAAGGAGGGATGTGAAAGGTCGGGTGCACCCAGGAGGGACACACACATGATTACACCTGTAACCATGCCTCTGTTCTAATCCGTTCATATACATCGCTGTGCATGTGTTTGGGGGCTTGTCAGTTGAATGTGTGTGTGTGTGTGTGTGTGTGCTCTGTGTGTGCATGTTACAGTGGGCCTCTGCTCTGTCAACAGCAGTAGACATCAGCACTGTTATAATGGGAGAGCTGTTTTCTTCACGCTGTAGGCAGTATCATCTCTTGGTTAAGGCTCCATCGCTCTCAGGAAAAAACACACTCACCTGAGAGGAAGAAACCGAGAGTGGGGAGGGGTGTGAGAGAAGTCAGTGGGAGGCAGTGGAAAGTGGAGAGTCAAAGCTGAAGGGGAGAAACTATGTACTAAGAAAGTTTTTGCATTTAGTGCAGGGAAAGGGAAATGAATGAGGAGAAGACTGGTTAGAGATAAGGCAGAAAAGGCAATAATGGAAACATTTATGAATGAGGAATTACCCATGACACTCTCTTCTACCCAACTATACTTAATGTCGCTTAGTTTTATGCTGTATCCCTTCAAAATCCCCTTAAAACGTTCTAACACTTATTAATTATATCAGCATATTCTAGCAGACACCGTGCTTTTGGAATATTATGTTCATTTCATCCTGTGTCTTTGTGCAAACCCATGATGATAAGGTGGCAGCATTTGTTCTTCTGCTGCTGATAATGGTCTATATTAGCGGTTAATTGCATAGAAATCAATTCATTGCAAGGGAAGTACATTTACTGTCGAACATTACTGAATAATTCAGCTTAGGTAATCGTGCTAGAACAGGGGGACTGTCCTGTTTTGAATCCCAACATGCACTGATGAGCTCTGTTGGCCTTCATGATGGAAACTGTGTGTGTGTGTGAGTTTTTGCATGTGTGCCTAATCTCATGACTGTGGCTAAATATGTCTGTGATGCAAACTTTACCTTATCGTGTTTAGTCTGCATCGGTGTTCTGTTGTGTCTCAGTGGAGAGCATTTGAATAATTTTTGCTCATAACAATAATAACCGTAAAATAACGAGAGCCTATTTATTCAGCAGCATGGCTGATGTCTCGGAGGGCTGATGTGAAGGCAAACTGAGAGGCATAAAATATGCAAACACACAGACTTTTCAGAGAAACAAATACACTGTTCATGGACACCGAGCGCTGATGATGCCCAATCAGTGTTCCTCTTCGTTGGTAGTTTAAATTAGGAAAATCACACTCTGTGTTTACGCTCATGGCGCTACAAGAGCCATAAGAGAGGGTGTGTCAATTTCAGTTATTATCTTTGTCTCCCCCTCTTTCTTCTGGTGCCTTTTTCTTAATGCCCCTCAGACCCTGGATGTCTCTCTGACTTCTTCTCCCCCTGGACCACAAACACACACACACAAACACACACACACATTCTGTATTCACACAAGACCTCCTATTTTTATCACACTGTCTCCCTCACTTCATCACTCCTCTATTGATTTGCAGGTATCTCTGCTGTGACACCCAAACAGAAATGAGGGAATGGTATGCTACTCTTCTCAGCATCCAGGTGCGTTTTCTCACGGATACACACACACACACACACACACACACACACACACACACACACACAAAAACAATATGCTGAAAGGCCTCGTTAACTGAATATAGGGACATTCTGTGACTCAATGTGAAATTCTGAATCTCAAATGTATTGCTGTTTTTTTTTCCACTTGTCAATAATCTTTAAGACATTTAAAAAACGTACAGTATGGTGGTCCTTAGCATCAGGGTTAATGCAGTAATATTAGATTAATTTGACCTCATTACACAACAAGATACTGCCATTTGATGTTTTAGAATAGTTTCCTGCTGATAGTAATGTAATGTAAAATCTCTCCCCCCTCTCCCTCTGTCTGTGTCCCCTCCTCATTAAAGTATGATGGCAACGTGTGGCCTCAGGACGGACTCCAGCAGACACGAGTGAGCCGCGTGTTGCCGGATACGCGTCACGGTAATGTGTCACTGATACCGCTGCGTGGCAGTGAGAATGAGATGCGGAACAGCGTGGCAGCTTTCAGCCAAGACCCGCTTGCTGTGAGTGAACCTACCAATCACGGGGACTAATCCGAGACCAACCAGGAAGCTGAATGTAATGCTCCTGGCTCATCAGAGACATTCATGCTGAACAGGCACTCACAATCCTCAATGTCACAGAAGAGTGAACCAAATTGCACCGAGTGTGTGCTAGTTTTGCAATGTGTACTTTACATTTGCAGAACAGAAGTTTATTCAAAATTGGACTTAGTTTAAATATTTGAGACGGATAATTGGGCATGGCAGTTGTAAAAACATGCAAATTCTATTGTTATTCAATATTTGTCTTATCTTTTTGGGATTTACTTTTGCAAACAGTTTGAGATTAGACCTGTTCAGAATAAATAATCTCTGTTCAATGATTCATCTTTGATTTAACATCAAACATCATCGGAGTTCTCAAACTTGGTGTTTTTTTCCTCCAAAACTAGACTATAGGGCACTCCCTTGATGTGTTTCCTAGACAATACATTACTCATTTGTGTCTGAGTCTCAACATCTTTAAGAATTCAGATGATGTGAAGAAGAGTAGACAGCTGCATCTTCATGTAGTGGGGAGGGTTGGACTGAGAACCAACAAAACAGTCATTCTGGCGCGGCTCTGCCAAAGCATTGCTCAGTCTAAAACATCCAGGAAACAACATAAACAAAGGAAAACACATTTCTCCTGTGCCCAAGAGGAACACAAATTCAACTCATGCCCACAGGCAAGTTTGGTCATCACTGTGTTTCACAGCTCTGCTGCCCTATCAGTGTACAGAGTTGTAAACTTGGCAAGAGTTTGACAAATATAATACCTCTTGGTTTGTTGGACTACATTTCAAGTGCACTGACATTACACCAGACCTGTTCAACAACATCATTATCACCCTCGCCATCTGTTCTCCTATTTCCATCTAAATCGAGTGCAGCCATCCAAAATAATTCACTGTACACTGTGGTATGAGACCAAATGTCCACAATATGAGGATGCAGTGGTCTCTTCCTGCTGTTTCCCTAGCATCACATTCCCCTCAATAGTTTACCACTGACTGCAGCAGCACATAATAATGCAGTCTGAAGTGACTTCAAATGGCACAAACACAATTCCAGGGTTGTTGTTGCCTTTCAGATATTTGCTATCGATCCTTGTCTTTTCAATACACTGAGAAGACGAGGAGTGTGGGAGAAGGTGTGATTGCTTTGGTGATGGATTTAGCAGCTGGATTTATGGCAGATGTTTGTGTATGTTGGAGTGGGGGTGGAGGAGAGAGATTCACTGCATATTAATATGGCCAATTTTCACTGTGAAGTGAAAGAGTAAATACTGTATGGAACGCTGACCATGTTTGGCAGTGTGTCTGTGTGTGTGTCAGTGTGAATGTGTGTGTGAGAGAAATAGAGAGAGAGAGAGAGAGGATGGTTCACTGCTCCTGATTATCTCTCTCTCGCTTGAATCTAATGTTATTTGTTGAGACTTTTGAATGTTGATCACCACGCTCTTTCCTCTCACACTCTAACAAGCCTTTTTCTACAGACTTCTCTTGGGGTTCAGACATAACATCAACACCTGCCTGTATCTTAATGTAGTCCATTTCTCTCCTGTATTTTAGCCCGTCACTATCTTCACCCCTCACTGTGTGTCCCTCTCTGTCATAACCGCAGTGTTGTTTATCTTTCAGCTGTTTAGAGATGTTCGATAATTGTCGCTGCAAGAAAGGTATGAACATTTTTTTTTAAATGACACACAAATTCTTTATTTTTTTTATTTGTAATTTTAATCAAGTTTGATTTATGTCAGATCTATATTCTGTGTGAGCTGCAACAAGCTAATTGGTTGATTTAAACATGCAAGTCTTCTCAATAAAACCAGTGAATGTGTGTAAATGACGTAGATGGGAAATTAGGCTCTTACAAATATGTCTGTTTATTATACTATACCTATAGGCTATAGCTAATGCAATTCAATATTAATATAAATAGTCCAGCTACAAGAAAAACACAGTGAGTTGACAACTGAAACATTGCCCTCCTTTTAGTTCAAAAGTACTCCAGAGGCAGAACATCTAAATAAAGATTATTCTGCTATGGCTCATCATTTATGCCTTTGTGAATATTATACTGTGCTGAAATTGGTGAATAAATTGAATTGTAATTGAATAATTTATCATATAGGTAACTGAACAAGCAGAAATTAGCTGGTCTAAACTTTTGAAATGTGAGGAAAATGTATGGACAGATACATTAGTAAAGAAAACAATAGTTGGATTCAACCAATCTACCGTATAGCTGATTTAGCTATACGAATATGGAAAAATAGAGATGTCCACTGAAGTTGACACTTGAAGTTTGATTGACAGAGAAAGTGTTTATCGCATTATCTGTCCGGCTGTCTATCTGCTCTCTTGACAACTGCTTATTGAGTCCACATCTTGTCTGCAGTTGGTTGCTATGGTTTCGAGACAGGTAGTCTGGATGAAAACATTTGATTTGACCTTTCAGGGGATAAAGTGTGAAACTGGTTTAAGGTGCAGGGATGATGGCTGGGATATGTTAGTGTGACTCAGTATTTTCAGTCTGCTGTAACACATTAAAAAGAGTACGATTTGACAGCACTTTGGCTAACTGTGGATTTCTGTCTTCTGAAGGGCCGACGGTCCGCCTCAGATGACCTACATCATCTTTCTGCCACTGTAATGGCCAGATTGACGGACACTGTGTGGATTATGGCCTGATACTGCCATCTGCTCCTTCTGGGTATGAACTGGACCAAAAAGAACAGACAATGAGGATCACATGTCAAATATAACCGACACTGGTGTCCCTGCACAAATGAATTTTACGTGACTTGATGTACAGAAGCAGCAGCTGGGAGCGGTGGCACTCAAAATCAAAGAGCGACATTATGATGGACTACAATCACTCGCTTCCTAATCGATGTCCGACAAGACTGCGCCCTCTGTTCCTCTGGTTCCATTGGTCAGCGGCATGTGACTCAATCCCTGCATTGCATTATGGGACAAAAGCATGAAGATCATGCTGAGAAAAATGTCTAATGTATTTAGAAAAGACTTAGTCGGGATATTCTAGGCACTAGCATCAAGTGCTTGGCCATTTTTAAATAGTTTATTACTTGCATTTGTAGCTGAATATGATTTATAACTTAGTTTTTTTATTTTAGCTCTTTTTCTGTACTATTGCTCATGAATTGTCAGGATAACCCTGCAGTAAATATTTGCTATTGTAAGCAAAGCTGATGTCACAGGTGACCTGATTCTGTCCAGGGTTTGTTCCACTGGGACCAAGACTGAGACATGAGCGGTGATGGATACTGTCTGTTACTCCATAGGACATTTGCCTGTACTGCACAAAAACATGGTCACTGGCATATTTGGCTCGTGTCCATTTGTCTGCATAATGTGGACCAGAATATGTGAACGTGTGCATTTGTGGATTGTTTCTTATGAGGAATGAAGGAAGAGGAGGTATGAGCTAAAAGAGTTGAGGGCTAAATAGCCTTTGCTTAACACTGTTTGAATATGTGATTAAATAGGATAAGCAATTGGTTTAGTATTGTCCTTTTAATCTGAATCAAGCACCTTAAATATATCACATTTCAAACCATAATCACTTATTCCAAACATTGTTCTGTGCCTAATACGTCATATTTTATGTTTCCGCTGTCTTAATCCTCAGCACTGCATCCTCTCTTTTTTCTAGATATACAGAATAAATATACATACATGGGCAGATTTGTCACTAACCAGCAGTATTTATGAAGTTTTAGTTTATACATTTGTCACATTGCAATTCAAAATGTATTTTTATGTCTAGAATCTTTGCAGCAGCATATTATTCTAGTTTGTTCATCCAAACAGTGCAGGATTTCTTTTGAAACATCTGTAATACAAGAAAACATTAAAGTGCATTATAATCTTTTACCTTTCTTTCAACTTGGGTCCAAACTAGGGTTGCAAAATTCTGGGAATTTTCAAAGATGGAAACTTTCCATGGGAATACACAGGAATAAACTGGACATTTTCAAAATTGAAGGTTGGTTCTTCAAAGGGAACTTAAATATAGTTGGCGAAAGTACATTTTAGCATAATCTTGTCTAAAACAAACAGATGCCATTCAAGTACACTTGAATATCCATGCCATTCCTCAATCACATGCACATAGCACACTGCTTACTGCATGGCTATTGAGACCACACGCCCTACAGGCACTGTGCATTCCTCATCACATGCACGATGATTTCTAGAAGTCATATTTAACTCAACATTCATGTTTTGTTCTTCAATGAAACAAATGATTGTTCAATAAAATAATTAAAACTTGTTCTGTTCTACTTACAAATAAACCTGTTGAAATGTAATTTTTTTTTAATTGTATCACTTTGCATGGATGTTTTCTTATGACAAAACACATTTTTTATATTTATGCTTGGATATGATAACAATTCGATTACATTACCCTCAATTCCAAGTTAGTTCCCATCAATTCCCATTATTCCCATGGAAATTTACCAGAAATGTTCCGCCCCTTTGCAACCCTAGTCCAAACTCCTATATATTTCTCAGAAGGAGAAATCTCTATAAACTGTATTGAGTGGCAACAGAGCCTGACCAGCTAGTTTCACCAACTTGTGTACCACCTGTTGTAAAGACAGCAGAGGACGCTAGATGCTGTGCTAGTGAGAAACTGTTGTTTAGATAAATGTTTGGTTTAAGCGCAGTTAAATCCGTGTCCACGCAGTTTGTGTGTATGAGTATATTGTTAGCTACCCTGTGAAGTAACGTAAATACACTATAGAAAGTGTTTATCCCCTCCATTCACTTTTGTCATTATTCTTTGTTTTCTACATTGAATCAAAGTGGATGAATCATAAGTCCTTCATTGACATGGATCATGAGACAATTAAGTACAAATATGAATCACAAAATACTCGTTGCATTAGTTTTCAGTCCTTTTAAATCAACCAGCACTGTCAAGTTGTATGATAAACGTTTTGGGATGAAACTAAGGTTCAGACTGTTCTACAAAGTGTATTTTACATCTTCGCTAAAAACAAAATGTAGACCTTTCTGATACAGTTGTATTTAACAAAGATTGTTTTTACACCCGGGATACTAACACACATGTTTTCACTTTTGTGACATCTAAAATCACTTGCCATAGAAAGTGGACGTTTATCTATTATTAACAATATGTATGTGTTTATATAATGTGTATTGTATCGATACGTTGAAGTGTCACTCTCAGATCATTGTCTAAACCTGCTTAGTACTTCTGTGATTCGATGTTGTAAAACAATGGTTTAGAATAAAAGTCCAACAGGGGCCGATGAATACTTTTTATAAGTAGTATATATTTTGTCACTCTTCGTCTTTTCTTATTCTGTTTCTCAGCATTTTACTGATTTTGCATCTATGAAACTCTAATAAACACATTCAGCTAGTTTTGTGTGTGCATATTATATTGTTCTGGCCATGGTAAATCGTTACAAAGTTCCCATTACTCATTACTTATGGTAATCCACTTGTTTTTCCTCAATGCTTTTATGAAATGTATGTGCAGACACTTACACATTCAAACTTGAATGTGCCCTACAGGGAAAATGTTAACATAGACATTAATGTATGTACACACAAATATATAGGGGCAGGAACTTTTGCGATGCCTGTGGGTTTCATGTCATGTCATGCTCCATCCAGGAACTGGAAGCCTATACATGTGCTTCGAGGGAAAATGTCAGGAGTGTGTGTGTGTGGGTGGGTGGAGTACAGTGATCATAGGGAGAGCCCGGAGGAGGTGTCCTTGCTGTGTGTGTGTGTGAGTCACAGTAGTCCACCAGCTTTATGTTCATTCTTATAAGCAAAGCTGACACATCGGGGTCACTCTGTACCTTGAGACACCACGCGAGGGTCTTACACGCAGGAGACCTTCACCGTACCATTCACATGCACATTTACCAAAATAGCCTTTACTACATAGGTCAGAGCAACAGTTGCGTAAGGCAGAGTGGTGACGACAGATGAGGGTGGTTCAGAGAAGGGCTACCATTGTAAATGAGCCTCAGGGGCGTTTCAGGGCCTGCTGAGTGTCAGGGTGGGCCGACTGCCACCTGACAGCTCCCAAAAATAAAGTGTACGTTTTCAGTGAGCACAGTGTGCTACACATCGTAACACAAACAAAAGGGGGGGACAATGGCAGCGACCATTCTCCCACAGAAATCTGGACACCCACCTGTGTGAACCAATCTCCTTCATTTCCACTCAAGAGCACACGTCAACAAACACAGCATGAGCAGCAGCACACATGGAGGCTTCTCTAATAAGAAGTTGGAGGAAAACTTCATACCTAGACATATATGGTATACATGGTAAAGGTGTTTATATTTTCCACATTGAACTCTCTCTTCTATAAAGTTGCTCTCAACTGGAAAGGACAGCAGCAAAAACAGCACCAACTTTTTCCATCTACATTATACTGTAATCTCAGGGTTAGTTTGAGGTGTTTCGTTTACACCACCGTTGCATCAATCTAGCATTGTTTTGTCTGATACAATGGAGGCTGTGAACTTGTCACTGAACTTGTTCCCAGACTCTTTTGTAAATAACCTGTGCAGGTCGATAAGTAGCAGGAGCTTGGAGAAAATGAAATTGTTGACAAAAGCTTGTTTTTGTGTGACTTAGTGTGATTTAGAAAGAAAAGACTATTCTAATGTACACAAACGTGGATCTCTGGGTCAGTGTGACACATTATTTCATGTAGTTTAAGACATTAATTGTGTGACAATATTTTCAGACAAGGCTGAATGTGAACAATAGACAATGTTTAGGAGCCACAATTACCGGAGCTGCTGAATCAGTGCCTGACTCTCCATCTGCAGGTTCGCATACCTGGAAGTAAAAAACAATATATCAGTGTGACACTTCAAATTTGACAGAACTTAACACATTTGAACATAAATATTGAATTATATTATTCTGACTGATAGTGTATGCGATTTGCGACAGGGGGAATGATCCTTCTTACATTATCACTTTCAGTGAAAAACATACAAATTATTATGGTGTGATTTTGCAGGGATCTGCACTAAATAAAGTTGTTTTCTTAAGTTTGTAAAATATGTGTAGGCCAGGACGCTGCAACATTTAGTCAAAAACCTTGACTGGTCCTGTGTCCACAGTAATTCATGTTGACAGAGCATTGACATACGTCATAACACAAATGTATGTTATTGAAATTCTTATAAAAGGTTTGTCGCTTATTTCACCACCATCCAATGGTCTTCAAAAGCAAACACCCCCATGGCCAACCGTATAGCAAGTTTAATTGTCTACAATACTTAAATGGGCCTGTTATGCTTTTGGGGTTTTTTCCATTTCCTTTAGTTTGTTAAATAGTTTTTTGTACGGTGTTGAATTTCTCAGCCTCTTGTGCTTTCTTCAATGCCAGAACCTGCCGCCATCCCCTAAAAACTTGATCAGTCACCACTGATGAGCTTTAGACAATTTCTGCAGACATAATTGATTGGAGTTGCTTGTTCAGCTCATATTCATTTGACGTTTTCTCCCTTTTGAACCCCGACAAACTAATTTCAAGCTCAGAAGTGTTCTGTTGTGTTGTCAAGGAAACCAGCCAAGAAAGCGACGATCACATCATAGGTGTTGATCCTGGCATAATTTTGACTATAAAAAGTGTCACTGTCAAGGGTTCATACTGTATTTGATCTAATGATATACTTCAGATCAGTAGGCTGTGTTCGTAGTATCAAGTTGCGTCAGGAAGTAACGCAGTGTGTGCCTTTTCTTTCTTGTCTGTTAGATCATTCTCTGATTGAAGAAGCTGTCAGGGACATTTAAAAGATGTGAGAAGACGTGCACAGGTTAGAGGGGAAGCGTGTCAACCTTCTGACAAGCTTTTTGTTCATTGTCATCCTCAAATAACTTGTCATTTAGTTGAACATCATGAGACATGCTCTGTCATGTACTCAGAACTTATTTGTGGGCTCATGCAAAAAAAACTTGTTATTCAATCACATGGAATCTTTCTTAAAGGCATCAATATAGCAGAATGTGTTAAGTAAGGGAGTAAGTGTATTCTTGTTTGGCAGAGAATGAGCAGAAATAGAGACTAATGCACATGCTAGTATGCTACAATATCATCAAAGCTTGAGGTTAGTTACAATATTTTTGCCATTCATTGATAGTTAATATAGAGATATGGACAAAAAGACATGCAACAGAATGTCCCTGTATGGAATTGAATCAGGGACATTGCAGTAAACGGTCTATCTTGACATTGATTGTATACAAACTATAGGTAAATATGTAGCAAAAACGATTTTCATGATTACAATTTTAAAATCATTTTAAATCTTAAAAGACAACAGGACTGGGGAATACCTTAAATAAACTGACGATGGGAGACAAGAAGTCTGAAAGGTTGGATTCTTGGCAGTTCTGAATTCAGTGAAAAACCTGGATTTCATTTTTGGAATGAAGTGCCCAGTGGAATTTCGAACACATCTATATTCTTTTGTCAACATCGGACACACTCAATATCTTAATCTCAAATGTCGGATAAGGCAAATATCTCCTGTATACTTTTCAGGTTTTTGAGCAGCACTGAACACTGCATGCAATAAACACACACACACACACACACACACACACACACGCACGCACGCACGCACGCACGCACGCACGCACGCACGCACGCACGCACGCACACACACACACACACACACACACACACACACACACACACACACACACACACACACACCACACACACACCCTGCCTACTCTCTGACCTTTTGTAGCCTTTATTTAACCAGGTGAAGCCCCTTGAGATCAAAAGATCTCTTTTTCAAGGGTGACCTGCAGATGACATGTAAAGAACATAGAGCTTCTCTGAGAGCTTTTAAATATTAAAAGGAACATTAAATAAAATAGCACAACGAGTGATTTATATAGCTGTTCTTACTCACTGTCCTGACACCACAATAATACTTTTCTGATCCCACTGTATACCCTCAGTTGTTTGCACTAGGTGTGTGTGAGTGGCCCCTGATATCCCCAAAGTCCTTCCTGCAGGCTGCTAATAAAAATGGAGTTGGAGTAAACTTGTGTGATCGTAAAAAGGTTTGATGGCTTGCAGTGCCACATGGAGCCTATCTCGGCTGGATGCAATTCATCTGAACACTTTCCTTTTATACATGTCATTAACACCCTGTCTTCAGTCACCTCCAGCTGACTGGGAAACACAAAAACTCTCTCACACACACACACACACACACACACACACACACACACACACACACACACACACACACACACACACACACACAACACACACACACACACACACACTCATAGTTGTCTCTCTCCTTTTGTTGCCCCTCACACACACACACACACACACACACACACACACACACACACACACACACACACACACACACACACACACACACACACACACACACGAACGTACGCACGCACACACACACACACAATCCTGCAGCGCTTCTTCAGTTCTGCGAAAGCCGTCTTGCTTGGCTGTGTCTGATTTTCCGCCCTCCAGCCCCTCCCCTCAAGTTTATCACCAATTACTGGTCCTTCAAGAGAAAATAAAGGAAAAAAGCCTCACTCCTGGTCCCCATGGTAACTGCTATCCTCCTTTCCGTTTCTGCACAATCAATCAAGCAACAAATGACTAGCTGCCCCTAAAGAGGAGAGGGACCAAATGTCACTTCTGAGGTTTGGTGTGCAGGCTTTACTTAGTCAGTTTTCTCTCAGCCACAGCATCTGTTTGCATCTGCCGTCTTTTTGATCGCGTTTGCTTCCTTTCGTCATGTTTGTTTGTGTCCTCTGAGTAGTAAAACATATTCAAGACACAAAAAAACATAAGACAAAAACAATGAAACTGAAAAAAACAATGTCACCGTAACACTGGCAATATGTTTCCTTTCATTTTTCAGCAATACTTCAGTTATCCTGACTATATGTGTTCTATGTACAGCATGTACACATTTGAAGCAATAGTTTGAAATTTTTGACAGTTTGCTTTCTTGGTGAGAGTTAGATGTGAAGTTGGATCATTCTCATTTACAGTAAATGTGAAGCAACAGTTAGCAGCTTGTTAGCTTAGCTTGGAAAAAAGACTGGAAACTGTAAAATAATGGACCATGTGAGATCTAGAGTATAAAAGTTATAATTTGCACATTTCTCAAGAAGTTTTGTGTAAGATGTTTTTTTGTTTTTGTTTTTCTGTTTTCCCAAGGATGTGGTCTCTGACTTGGCTGAGAAGATCCTGCATATTGGGGCTGAACATCCGACTGTGAAGAATGTGGTACTGCACATTGGAACAAATGATATTGTGAAACAACAGTCAGAAGTGCTGAAAGAAGACTTTAAATGTCTGTTGGAAACTGTCAGCTCTCTAAAT